ATTTCTATATAAAAGCCTTCTTTGTAATCAATTTTCAAATAAATTCTTCTGCTTGTTTAATAATGGAAAATACCGTATTCGGTATAGTAAATGATGTCAATTTGTTATTTAAGTTTATAATTGCTTGATATCTAACTCGGTGATGGAAGGAAAGTCTTTAATCACTCGAAGTCTAATAAAAGCGATTATGCGCCTTCTTGAAACTTGAACATTTCATTTTCAGTACTTTAAACTTTGTTATCTTACGGTGACACACACATTAGGTAATCGGTTCGTTAAAAGCTCGAAATAATTCGCGATATGAGATGTATATTTTTGTACCATTGGCTATTCTGCGTAGGATGTCGTGAATAAATGATGATGTTGTGTGATTTCCTGCTGAGATAATGATAGGGATATGTACTTATTGTAAATAAATGTGCTTGACAGCTGCTGTTTATGATGAGCTTCAGCAGGCCTTATGTATCACACAAAAGACACTTTGTTAGTACAAGTTGTTTCATATTGAATAATAATAATGTGATGTTTTAATTTACAGTATGTTTATATGAAAACCTAACTTTTTAAATTGGTAGAAAGAAGTTTTTAAAATTACCGTAATATTGTAATAGTAGGTATAGAGGTTTAGACAACTATGGCCCTTAGTGGTATGAAATAAATAACTGTCAATACTTGTATGGAAAAAGGTATGCATTGAATCAATGATAAATTTAAACTACTACCCAATTTACAATTTTCAATAATGAATGACATCTGGTTTTTAATTTAGTAGGATAATAATAAGAAATGAAAAAATAGTAGGTACTCTTAATTCACATTAATAAAGATTTTTTTGTCAAAGTCTTTATAATTAAGTTGAAATAGTTTGTTAAGTCCGGTGTGCTTACATGTAATATACGTATCAATAAAGTCCTTGTGTCTATTATTTTATTCATTAAAACACATTTATTAGCTTTAGCATAGAGTACTTTATTGTATGACTTAATAATTGTCAGTTAAAATTGAAACCTGTTGTAAAGGCTATAAGATACATTTTGGTAAGATATAGAACTTTAAAGTACGCGGAAGTCGTGTTTATAATGAGAGTTTCAAATTAAATTGGTTATTTCATAAAATCGTATTCCAATCTGGTCTGTTGGTGCATTATTATGGTGGCTGACTGAAGAATGCATGTCTTGACAATTTTATAATAAAGAACATTTTGTACCTAGTTTTACTTGGGCACCACAACATATAAAACCTTTTACCACAATATTAACATAATCTGTTCAATGAAGCAAAATACTAATAGCAGAAGAAAAGAAGTATTTTATGAAATAATCTGTAGAGATGAAGACGTATTATTAAAATTAAGTGTTTTGGTTAGTAAAATGTCTGACAGTATCACAGTCATATTGAACTTGTCAAGTTTTGAAATGGCCATTTCAGAATAGTGTCATATTTGTGTTATTCAAGTTGGGTGCTTTTAAATTTCATTCTACTTTGAAGCGTTTATGAACTTTTCTATCCTATCAAATAGTATTAAAGTTTTTATGCAAGCGCCAATTGAATGTACTATTTTTTACGATAAATATAGTAAATTTTTGTGGGCTTTTGCTTCGTTGAACCGAGTTTAGAAATAGTTGTTTGTATGAGATGACTATACAGTTTATATATCTACGTCACATGAGTATATCAAATTGTATTTACATTGATAATATGAATATTTTAAATACATTTTCTATTCGTATGTAGCAATAATGTGTACAATCAAAGTATTACAGTGTATCTTTCCACTTTTATATTTACTTGGTATTATTCTAAGCAACTCTGCGTTCGGTTGGCGAGAGTAAAAGGCGTGTTTGTGCTCCAAATTTCTTTTAAGTCCTTTACCATCATTATATGTCATGTATACATATTTATTTTCACAATTTAGCGTTATAAAAATGTGCAATACTTAAAATTGATTGCTCAATAGAAAAACCTTAGCCCTTATGTCGAAGTACAAAAGTGTTAATCTTGCTATTTTAAAAAACAAAGTTACAGTTTTTGGGTTCGATGCAAAAATATGCCCTAATGCTTGTGAGCATAAGGTTTCGAATTGTTACTCTCGAGAATCGGACAACTATCTCATTTGTCAGACCACTAAGATCGACACTCTCATACCATCACCATTTCTTAATAACATTTGGAACCAAAAATGTCTGTTTTACTGTTCCGCTTAGGGGAAGCGTATTATCTAAAACAAATAAAAAGTAATAACTATGTAAGTACCAAAATTAGTATTAAAAAAAACAATATAAGTAAGGGTATCGTTGCACCAAATGAAAGAAAATTCTATTTTTAATAATTCACATTATAATAAATATTGCTTCTTTAAACTGTGTCGTTGTGACGCGAATCGTGGCAATAATATTGAAAGTATTATGTCTTGATGTTCCCTCGTATAATAATAAGACCTGAGCGGCTTTTAAGTACATAAGCTCAGGCGGTATACTGGATTCTATAGAGCTTGATACTTTATCGAGTCTAAAACTAAAATATTGTTGTAAAATTAACCCTTCTTTTCTTTCTAGTAAAACAGTCTCTTTTTTCGCTGTTTACACAGCGCTGTTTACACTTTGAAACTATAACTTTCTTGCATTTTTTGAAGTATTTTCTTTATTACATTGTTTGTTTAATGAGAATGTAATTAGCATTAAATGATTACTTACCTAAGTAATTTTAGAAATCGGAATTCCATGGGCATTAGCAGTTTGGTTGCGTAATACTACAACTGATTTGTATTTTTGTTTTAAAGACAGTGTAAAAATGTAATGTAATTATTATGAAATGCGGTATTGTATATGGACTCGTTACTTTTACTAAAGTCGGTAATTCGGCAAGTATAATTAGGTCTCCCGTCGTCGTGGATTTGCGAACCAATGGCGTAGCTTCTCGACTTTCACAACTGCTTGTAACCAGCCTAAACTGAATAAACGATATTGAAATTTATTCGAAGTGTATCTGCGATAAATAATATCGTTCAAATTCATTCAGAAGTTTAAATCAAGATTGTTTCATTTCATACATTCTCAATGGTAAAAAATGTGAAATCACGACGTACAGTCGACACCGCTACGGTTGAAACTTCGTTGTTGATATAACTTTGTTGCTTGGTAACAAAGGCTATATTCGTGTAAATGTATTCATTGTAATGTAGCCGACTGCATATGAAAGTTTATTGGTTTAACTCGATAAATTATCAAGTGTTTCTATTGCGATGATGGCATTGAGCGAGTTTTCCATCCACTATAAAAAAATTACTCACGTGAATTCGTTCAGTCGACCAATACTTATAGTTGGTTTAATATCAAATATCAAGTCATTTTACTAGCTGCTGCTGGTGGCGGCAAACTTTTTGAGCACAGACAAATTAACTTGCGCAGTAGACGTTTTTGTATGTAGAATTGGTGCTGCGCAGGTTTCCTTGTCTATGGTCGTTGCTTAAGAAGTTTGCCGGGATTGGATATAACAAGCGAACGTTTGGGGGGAATAACTCCCATCTTATAGAAGTTAACACGTTGACTATTCTCGCAAGTAAACTAGCTCAATGCTATCGACATTTAAACACATGAACAATGTATTGATAGCATTTATTATGGAATCGCTTGGGCGCGAAAGGGAGGGAAGGTGCTTCAGTGAACATCACTGGTGCTCCTCATATTAATATAATATTATAATATAAGGCTTCCCTTTTATATAATTACATATTAGTGTTTAGTACTATCCCATTTTTTTGAATAATCAAATAACATTTGGACAGTATTCCGTATGAGATGTTCCTACATTTTATATATAACGGAATTTAATATCTTAGATATGTCGGGATTCCTTTGTATGTATTAAGTTCGTGCGCTATTTTATGAGAAATTATTTTTTTTTGTTTTAAATTTGTTAATTAAATGCAGTAAATTGATGATTTTTATTACAATACTACATGTGTAAACTTTAATTTGTGTAATAGTTTGGCCAAAAATAAAGCTTATTTATTCAGATGTTGTCTTTTATTCGAGGAAAGTGGAGCTTGTTGGCGCAACTGTGGTTCACTCGTTTAGTTTGCGAAGTTACGAGGGGATTCGGGCAATGTTTTTTTCCATACAAACGTTCTCGAATGATTCCTCCCTGATTTTTATCATTAAAAAAATATTTTCATACATAAAATATAATTTTTATATGCTCCTGTCTTCCTTTCTTCGATAACTTGTGTTTCAAAGACACTAGAAGCCTTTGAAAAAGGCCAAAGATAAACAATTTTTATCACCACTAGAGACGTCTAGTGTGGAGATTTTAATAAGCATTTACAAAATATCAAAACGGAGGCATAGTATTATTTCTAATTATTCTTTGTGTAAAATTTCTTTTACATATTATATCTAATTTTCGAAGATCAAATCGTCGAGAGCCAAACCTCGAATTTTGTAATTTTTATACGCAAGTTTCAGCGTTGACTACTGTTGTCCCTATCGCACGGTATATGCCAATGTGTGACAGCAATCGTTTTTCCAAATACCTATTTCTCAAATGTCTCTTAGTTCGCTCTTAGGAAATTTAACAAAGTATGGACACAGGGCGGGTGACCAAACATTGATTATATTAAACTCGCTGGTGCTTTGGAAGATAAATTGAGTAGTTGGTCCCGACTACATCTGCAACCTGTTCAAATCAGCGTCTAAAACTGTTTTGTGGTATAACTCTCAGGTATCAACAAAATAGAACGTGTGAAAGAAAATTACTTCTGTATTTATAGTTTTTATTTTTTAAGCATGAAACCGCTCGATGTTTAAATCTAAAGAAAATATTAGTACTAGAAAAAAATCCGACGCGGACCAGGCAGCAGGACTCGAACCCACACCCTTTGCTATCCGGGCGAATGCCCTGACCATTATGCTACAGCGGCCCTGATGACCACGTCGAATTCTTTCTAGCCTTTTCTTACTTTTGTATGTTTATATTTCATATTTTACTTGATTGTTCTAACATCAGCTCATGATCTCTTCCAAGTTGACGTCATGCACTCGACTCGCGATCCGTTTCTTGGGCATTGAGTCGATCTTCTTGAGTGCTATCATGACACGCCTGTCGGTCCGGTGCGTGGGACAGAACGCAGTCAACCTGGTGGGGACGTAGTTGTTGTGGAGCAGCATCAGGGGCATTGCCAACGTCAAACACCCGGAATCTGGAGAAAATGGACACAAAAAATATGGTAGTTAGGTGGTGAAAATTATGGAGTTTAAGGCTGGGCGTATATGTTCGGTTTTCTGATTGGGCTTCTGTTCGAATGAGGGCTACCGTTTTCTGTCTCACCAGATGGCGCCACTGTTGAGTGAGGTCCTGAATTGTAACTTTTAAAGTTTATTAATACGCACGTAAAGTCAAAGTTTACATTTTAATCATATTTTAATACAAAAGAATCCGTATCCTAAACATAATCGGCCATGCTACAGTGATGCGCAGTTCCGTTTTGTTCGGAAAAAAGAAGGATATAATGTTTTTTCTTAGCTCCCCTTTTAAATAACTGAAGTTCATTGCCACGTAACTCACATTTGTCATTATTAGCCTAGTTCTTACCAAATATTCACAACATTATTTTAAATAGAAATAAACCCGCGTAATCGACTCGCAAGCAATAACATTTGACATTTCGGAGACCTCACGCTACATTAACGTAGCGCTCAAACTATTCGCAAATAAAATTCTTTGCCCGCATGCCTGTTCCTTCCTTCCTACAATCCGGGGTCCCTTAAGGAAGGTGTGAAGAAGCAATTTTGCAGGCCGGTAAGGTGAGGATGGTTGGTGTGGCAGTTTATAACTGCTGTACCAGCTATCTTCGCGTTTGGACTCTACGCAGTACAATTAGTTCGGGTAGAGTCATTGGCCTACCTGGCTATAAAAAATAAAAAAGCATGGATGCATGCAATTTTCTCTTTAGACAGACACTGAAATGTCGAAAAAGTAAGCGAATAGGCCAGCAAACGGAAACCGTTCATATGCGCCCAGCCTTAAACAAAACAAATTCTTTCCAGTGGATGAACTAAAAACGATTAAGAGTTATTAATCTAGGGAATTTAAAACTTTGTACAATTGACTACGCGCTATATCGGAAGTCAACTTGTATTACTCTTATTAATTACACAAAGTCAGGATTTTGAGGTGAGAGGCAACAAGCCCGATTTAACTTATACAAGTCGCGGTACGAAACTCAACGCTGACCGTTATTGCGCAGGATTAAAAAGCAAGATGTGTTGGGGGGAAACGAGGTGCGCAGGTGGGCGTGCGTTGCGCCGATTGGCTCTCCAGTCGTACCCATGCGCAGCTATCCCCTCCGCGTTTTGTTCAGCGCTACGTATAAGGGGTCAGAGTATCTAATTAAGTTTAATGTTCTATTCTATATATATATATATTTATATTTATATATATATATATATATATTAATATCTCAAATGCACAAACACACACGCCCACACACACACACCACACATACACAAACACTCCGCTTAGTTATATTATGTAAGTATTTTTTGTATAATATAGATGTGCTTTGGTTAACGTGAGTTGCACTAACTTATTTCAACGTAAATTGCCATGTCAGGGCATGGAAAATTCTTAGTAAAATTTAACTTTACCTAGCTCTGTGGTGTAGACTGTAGTGTAACTCACACTATAATCTATACTAATATTATAAAAAGGAAAGGTTTGTATGTAAGTATGTTTGGAACGAATTGGCTCAAAAAGTACTGGACCGATTTCAAAAATTCTTATTATTATTATATTTATTATTTGAATGCTACATTATCACTGATTAATATAGGCTATAGTGTATTTTCAAAAAAGTTAGGGTTCCGTATGAAAACTTCGATAATGTTACCCAACGTGTGTAAAAAATACCAAAAAATAACCTTATATCGCGTACACTGCGGAAGTCATTGATAATAGAGCTAAGTGATGTACTAAAGTTTTATAGAGGATACTAATATCCACAAAAAAGTCCGCGATACCATAATGTCTAACTATTACAGTAATGTCACAACTAGAGGTCCCCTGCGGTTTTACCCGTGTTAATTTGAAGCAAAAGGTTTATAGTGAGTCAAACTTAAAATATGTAGATAGGCTGTCGTGGAGTTTTTTACAGAACTTAAAACGGGGAAGAATTCCGTCATACATGATTTTTGTGTTACTTTAACTGTTTACCTAGCGCAAGCAACGGAATCTCAAATGGAATATTTTTACGCATTTTTGCAAACATTTTCATCGCCTGGTAATATATAGCCTATATTCCTCGATAAATGCACTGTCCAATACAAAAAGTTTTTTTCGCAACGAATTTTTTACTTGGAATGGAAGGTTTTTATTATTATGAAGAAAGTCATTATGTATATATAATACAAGCCTTTGATAAAAACTGTAGTCTACGCTACAGCTCTACACCGAAGCAAAGCGAGAGCGGGCCACTAGTATGTTATAATATAACGAACGACCTTACCATAATGGTATTCATGCTATGGAAGAGTGACTTAGCTCTTTTTGGTCCAGGTCTTTAAACATAAAAAAGGAGCCTACCTTTATCTATGTAACCCGATGTATGGTAAAAAATAAATGAAATAATATATAATTTTTATTTTTTAAGCATGTTACTGCTCGATGTTTAAATCTAAAGAAAATATTACTAGAAAAAAATCCATTCGGACCAGGCAGCAGACTTAGCCTACCGCGGCTCTTTCTTTTAAGACGCAGGCAAAAAATCTTTTTACGTCTTTAAGGCGTCTTTAAGAGGCACACCGTCGAACGGACCTCACACCTGGCTCCCGCAAGCCTTACGAACCCCCACAGTGGAGTACCCCGTAACTCTTACGGGCGCTTTACGGTATAATATCCGCTAAAAACCCTGCGGATACCTTCAACGCTGCTCCATGCGAAGCCGCGGCGTCCCCGTTAGGGATTCTTCCGAGACTCCGCACATGCTACCGCGGCCCTGATGGCCGTGTCGAATTTTCTTTAGCGTTAGGCTGCAAGACAGCGCCATCTCTTCGCATTGTAGATAACCCACAATGTCAAATGAATACCTTTCCAAGTATTAAAAATTTGAAAGAAGAAATGACAATTATAGTTATATAGCCTCGTCTGCTGCCTGGTCCGCGTGGAATTTTTGGAGTGAAAACTTCTTTAGGGCGTTGAACACTTTTTTTGTAATGGGTAAAAAATGTTAAACTCGCGTCAGGACACGCGGCCTGACCGAAAATTCGTAAGACGAAAACAATAAAAATGGAAAGGTTGTGGACTGCAATATATTGGACGAAACATAGTAGTACTATTTTATTTTATCGTATTATAATAAAAAGTATAACTAGGACGTCCAGGTGGCAGCTTTATTGCGAAGAAAATGTTTTTTTTTTACAATAGATGTCGCTAGGTGCACTTAAATGTGATTCATGTAAGTTGATTTTTCTGAGAGATAATCTTTTTAATGTAATATAAATTGTCATGTTTGTGTACGATAGCGCAATAAATAAATATTGTATTGTAACACATAAATGATAGTACTTTTATACTGATAATTAAAGAAATTATTCCCTAACCATTCCAAAATATCAAAAATGCACAACGTTAACATTCAAGTTTTCACTTATGCCGGCAATACCCGAGTGCAACCCGTCTTTTTTTTCTAGTAAAATTTTCTTTAGATTTAAACATCTAGCAGTTAAATTCTTAAAAAATAAATAACATACATTAATTATTTATTTATATACTACGCTATGACTATTACCCGGTATCTTGGGCTTAACGCTGACATTCTCGATCATGTAAATGCCGCTTCTGCCGAGTACGTTCGCTATAGTCCTGCTGGTGAACTCCCTGGTCTGCTCCGACTCGAGGCTGGGAGTGTCGGTAGCCACGCCCACTACGTGGCTGAGGTTAGCTGCAATCCACTCCGCCAGCTCGTAACTGAGACCTGAAATAACGCAGGCCGGTTGAAAGCACTAAACTTGTGCTGCCTAATTTTTTACAAACAGATCCCTAAAGTGAAAATTTCTCTCCACAAACTCTTATTTTACAGTTATTATCATTACCATCATCAGCCTATTAATTTCCCCACTGCTGGGGCACAGACCTTCCCTATGGATGGAATAGGGAGATTGGGCCATGACCCACCACGCGGACCCAGTGCGGATTGGCGGGTGCTAACGACTGCAGATGCAGCCGGGACCAACGGCTTAACTCGGAGGAACTCGAGATAGAAGATTTTTGGTCACCCATCCAATGACCGACCACTGCGAAAGTTGCTTAACTTCAACGATCGCAGCCAAAGGCGCTAACCACCCGCGCCATCGAGCTCCTCATATTCGTTACATGTGATGTGATTATTTGCAAAAATGGTCCAGGGTCGAATGGATATTTTTAAGAAGTTATACTTAGTTGAAATTAAACAAACTGATTGATAATGCGAAGAGATGGCGCTGCCTTGCAGCTTAAGAATGGCTAGAGGAATTTCGACGCGATCCGTGAGGGCCGCGGTAGCATAATTGGTCAGTGCATTCGCCCGGATTGCGAAGGGTGCGGGTTAGAGTCCCGTCTGCTGCCTGGTCCGCGTGGAATTTTTTCTAGTTATATTTTCTTTACATTTAAACAGATTGAAATTTTTCAAAGGATATTCGGAAAGCCAAAGAATGTTAAAAATATATTTTAATACAATATTATTATAATAAGTATATTGATATAATCGGCTATTTACATATTGATGTTTAGTGGAAATATTATAATAGTTTTTTACGCAATTAAATTGCTGAGTGTTTTAAATCTAAAGAAGTTTTCTTTAGATACTTACTACTAGAAAAAAACCACTCGATCCCGGTTAGAAATCCCTTCCGAAACCTATAACCTAAGTGGATTTTTTTCAGTAAAATTTAAGAAATATTATAGATTAAACAGCGTGGTATTTTTGTGTACTACTTACGTGCCATTACATGAATTTTATTAGTTTATAATGACCTCATTACGTCTAATGATTACTAACTATCCCGAGCCGTTTATAAATTCACATTCTCTGATGTTGGTACACTCAAAACCACTATGGACTCGAACAAGGAGCAACGTGTTGTTAGCCATTATTTTGTAGATGCAGATCCTAATAAAAGTAGTGACTGTGATAATTTTTTTAACTCTGAGGTTTTAGAACAATGTGATGTGTTGGAGTTAATGCATGATAAAGCGGTGCAAGATGAATTCTTCGATAATCCTTTTGAAGTTAATGAAACGGGCTCGTTTCCTAAAGAAGACGTGATTGACCAGCATCTGTAAGTACCTATTGATAAGCTTACCTTATTTTTTTTACGCTATATTGCTCTTTTGTACTAATGTAGGCACTTAAGCCTAAAATGCGAGTGACTTGGTGTTTATTGCAATTGCTCTAAAACTTATAATCTATCATGTGAAAATACGACACACGCAAAGCCTGTGAAGTTTTCTAGAGAGAAATTCAACATGTCCTTTAAGATGATGTTTTTTTAAAGTATTTAACTGCTAGTAGATGTTTAAATCTAAGGAAATAATTGACTAGAAAAAAATCCACGCGGTTCAGGCAGCAGACGGAACTCGAACCCGGTGCGGGTTCGCTATCCGGGCGGATGCACTACCAATTTTTTATGATTCGACATTATCAGTTATAAATTTTCACACTTCTACCACCAGCTAGTATGTACCAGCTAATGTTGGTATAAAATTCCCTTCTATAATAATTCACAGTCTTCGTTACATTATGTATTGTGGATAGTATGTTGCTCATAAACAAAAGAGATAAGATTCAGCTTAAGGCAACTTAACTTACTTCAAGCGCTGATAAGAACATTGTTTTTACTTCTTTTAAGAAATTCCGAAATGTTCTGTATTAAGTTGACATCGAGAAGATTTTTAAATAAGGTTTTAATGAAAATACTCTTTAATAAGACAGGGATTGACATTTTATCTGCACAACATAGGCGATGAGTTTACCCTAACATGTCTTATTTATTTGTTACAGGCAGGTTCGATGTCAAACCGGAAGGGGTGTGAAAAGGAAATCGCCAAACGAAGCATCAAGTTCAGATTGCATCCTACATCAAGATACTTCTATAAATATTAAAACCGAAACTTCAAACAGACCACTATTAACAAAAGAAGAACAAATAACTTGTGACGTATGTGGAGTGCTGGTGAGTCGAAGGTTCCTTTCAAACCATCTGAGAACTGCTGTACATAGAAACAAAAGTTTAATTTCACAGCACGGTGATAAAGTTATGGTGCTGAATACCGCATTCGGATCACGAATTTTAACATACCGTTTTGTTTTACCTCAGCAAGAAGATGCCGATACTGAAACACCGGAATTATTCTATGAATCAGTGAAAGACAAAATAGCCAAAATTGTCGACGATTGTCTTAAATCACTTACTTTTATCAAGGTTAATTTTATATTACATACCGATTTCGTGCAGGAGGCAAAGACTTTAAAAAGATTATTTGATTGTCAAACTTCTTATTATATAATTTCGATTGGTGACGATCTTGAGTCATATTATAAAACACTAGGGGAGTGTTTCAAAACGAAAATATCTGAATACGAGAAAAGATTTGATGGTTGGTCATTTGAGAAAATTAGATGTTTGGAAATGAACGTTAACAAGTTTATTTTTTTGCGTTGAGATATAATGAACTTAAATAGCTTTATATTTGCATACCAAAGAAGCAATATTTAAAAGTATAAAATATCACTGATTGCTTTCAACTACTCGTGATCATTAATATGTAGGATTGCCTCTTCTTCTAGTTTTCTTTTTTCATCTTCCTTCTTAAGTTATTTAAAAAAAAACATTTCAACTTTTGAACCTAAAACCAATATTTTTATAAATTAATACCCAAATATTATATTTGTTCCCTGACTAAATTTTAACATTATAAATCCACGTGTTTTCGATATTCGCTGAAAGAAATACTTGCAAATTTTCGTGTATTTCAGTATGTACATGTACAGGGTCACATGAAAATTTCAGGTATATTATTGGGTCCTTAATAAAATTCTTTAAACCACCGATCGAAAAAGCAAATTTTACTTCTCAATCTCTAGCCTCTTTATTATTAATAAACGAAGACTAAGCTTGGATTAGTTATTCTATGTTTTGCTCTGTTTATTGAATGACAAATATTTTATATTATTGCCAGTATTGCCAGTGAAGGGTTTTAGTTTCTTTTTTGAAGATAAGTGATATATTTTGTCATATTTTTTATTTAAGTGGCATTCTTCAGAGACTGTATACGTAGATGGGTACTTATTTTTAATGATCTTCGGTTAAGTCTTTAGGAACCTTTTGATTTCTAATGTTTGAGGTAGGTAAGTACAGACTAAAATAATGTCGTTAGAGTCTCTGCGGAAAGAGAATGGGCGTGGCGAAAATTTTATTTGGCAATCAAACCCAGCAATCTGTAAAACGTCAAAGTTTTGTATTGATACGGATTTGTTTGTTATTGTGATTTCTTGTGTTTTTTTTTGTATTTAATCATGTCTACAGGGGTGAAACCTTACAAATACGGTAGAAAAGCACTACAGCGCCCTCCAATCTAAATCTTATTCTCTTTCCGCACAGACTCTAGTATTGTTAAATACATTTTTTTTTATTTAAATCGAAGTCGTATCTATTTGGGTAAAATATGTTGCGCTAAACAGAATTTGAACTTCGTATAATTATGGGGCATACAAAAGAGTTGTGGCTAATAAAGTTGCAAACGTTCTCCTTCGTATTGAACTGTTTGTCTTTCTTCATATCGTTCGTAGAGATGTACTGCTTGATTGGACGTTTGAGGACCAGTTCTTCATTGGTCCTTTTCTTGATTGCTTGATTTAAAAAATTAGCTTTGCGCATCTTCACTTTGCGAATTTTATCCTTGTGCAATGCGAAGTTCTTTGTGCCAGATTGTGTTAAATTGTTTAGTGTGTAGCATTTATATTTATAGATGAATTTAGTGCGTTCATGAAAACGTACACCGCGTTTCTTCTGTAGTCATTCTACGACCAGATGACTTGTTTTTATTTAATTTGGTTGAAACAAAATAACTGTCAATCTTCTTAAATTTGAATTATTTTGTTTCAACAATATTCCACGACGTTTCGGTTGAATCTGGAACGTTAATTATTGTAATTCCCAATTTTAGTGCAGTGCAAACTTTTGGTTGATGAATGTGTTGCTTTTTAAGTTCACCTGATGAAGACGGGGTGTTACGTGGCGATGGAACAAAAAGTCTTTTTAAAACAATTATATTTTAATTACTACTAAAACTAAATGCAATGCGAAACAGAGTAACGATATGGTATACGAACGGAGTCAGAAATGGAACTGTCTTAGTTTTTTTTTGGGTTTATGACAAGTCAATCGAAAACAACTCTATCAATAACAAATAAAACGGTTACATCTCTATCATAACAACTTTATCGTAACAATTGTATTGAAACAACTCTGTCAGGAACGGCAATGTTATTTACAAACAGTGAGGATTGTTTAGTGAATTTAATTCTTTTTGTGGTGATAAAAGTGGTGTATTTAGTAAATTATTTTTTTTATCTTTTCTCACGGAACAGCTCTATTTGTCATTTAAGTACGGAAGTAGGGATGCCGTTTTGATCTCGATTTTTTGAAGAATCGATTTTTTCATGTCGATTAATCGATATTTTTAGATCGATCTTCGGCCGTTGATTAATCGAGTGAATCGAACTTTCGCAAACGAGATCAAAGTAATATCAATTGTAAAGTCATTCATATGCATTATGTGAATAATAATAAAAATTTATGGGGTAAAATTAAAAATGCTTCGAACATCTATTGCGCGTGAGTAAATTATTTTTTACCTCAATTATAAATACACAAATATTCTCAATTTACTTTATTTAATTTCAAAAAAAATTACGTTGATGTCATAATGCTTTAA